GATGTTTGCTAGAGGACTGATAAGTTGGATAGGCAGAGGTGACTTCAAATGTCCCCGAGAGAATACTATAGCCGGATAGGTGGGACGGAAGTTAGGTTTACCAGGGCTCATCCCTGGTAAACCTAACTCATCCCACCAGTCTTCTCTCGTCCTAGAAGTGACGATAAACAGTTTACACCCGTGCGGTAAAGCAAATGTGGTTTACAAAACTAATTAGAATTATCAAGAGAAGGTCAGTACGACAACATACAACATGGAAGGGATATGAAGACAGACTAAAAGCTGTCAGACAGAAAGAACAGTCAGAAAGGACAGTCAGAAAACTGGGATATGTGAAGAGGCCAAGAGCTAGGATATAAAGACAGTATATAGAACTGAGATTAAAAAAAGGTGTGAAAAAAAAGGTTGCCCCAACCACGTGAACAATCGGGAATCGAGTCCAGCCCTGCAGGAATCGAAGCCGTCGCTGTACCGACCAGAATTAAGTGGATGGACTCTCAGCGGGTGGTGGTCGGGGCAAGCCTGGTTACGATACCAAATGACAGGTATCGATAAATGACGATACCAAATGACTATGGGACACGGAGCTATATCGACTGGGTAGAGATAGTGAGTATGGATAGCAGTATGGATAACGATGCTGAGGAAGAGCAGCCCTATACACCGTTACTAAGTTAGGGGCAGGATGAGTAACGAAGCTGAGGAAGAGCAGCCCTGTACACCGTTACTGAGTTAGGGGGCAGGATGAGTAACGAAGCTGAGGAAGAGCAGCCCTGTACACCGTTACTGAGTTAGGGGGCAGGATGACTAACGAAGCTGAGGAAGAGCATAATGGATATCGATTTTAAGTTACTGCATGATGCGTAGCGACACTGAGTATTGACCATGACAATGCAGTGCGTCAAGGAAGACACAACCACGGAGCGGAAGGTGTTGTCGCTGCTCATATTCTCCCAGACTACACGACATTGTTGATATTTTAGATTCGGCTACTGGGAACACACAGTTCCAAGTAGCACGGGCTACTGGTGAGCCCGTAGTGGACTTAAATGGCACAGGAGCGGGGCTGTATAACTATTAGACTATACACGTATCTCTGGATGTTATATACTAGCTTGTCTGGGGGGATGTAGATTTCGTGAAAGCCTAATTGTGTGATCAAAGGCAAGGGACATGCATCTGCCAATTGCGTCTATGACTGTGAAAATGTAACATTTTACAGATAAACATCTCAACTAATGTTCAATAAAATGTCACATTTTATTTCTTAAAACGTTAAGTAAAAAAAATAATAATTATATATATATATATATATATATATATATATATATATATATATATATATATATAATTATATATATATATATATATATATATATATATATATATATATATATATATATATATATATATATATATATATAACGATAGTAGTAGTACTATCAGGGTATCATGTCTGTGCCCCACTTATCAATCGTTCGATAAACTCCTGATAAAGATCATGTATCTATATTACACTGCATATAAAGCCTTTATTAAGGCCTTCTACACAAAAGGCGAGAACAAAACAAATCTGCTACAGGTTACTAGGAGGTAAAGCTTCATAAAGTAGTCAATTGTATCGCTTTTATACATTAGTTACACAAAACTCCCCGGTTCTAAATCACACTACAGCACACAATCTCTGCTACACAGACGACGGAACAAAGGACCACAGCAGCACTGAGAAGTAACAGGCATTGTGATTAATCTACGTTACAATGTTCCATGCTATAAAATGCATGGAAGCCCTTTGTGCGAAGCTTCCTTGCGTGTCCAGTACCCCCAGGTCAGTGGCTGTGCCGTCAGGCTGAAGGATTTGTGTTAGTTGCTGCGTCGACCATGTGATGCGAGGCGCTAACCAGTCCGGTCCCCCTGGGATAGGCCCAAACCTGGCTCTTCTGGTCACCTGAGCAGCTTCGACCTGGCTCTTCTAGTCACCTGAGCAGCTTCGACCTGGCTCTTCTAGTCATCTGAGCAATTTCGACCTGGCTCTTCTAGTCACCTGAGCAGCGTCGACCTGGCTCTTCTAGTCATCTGAGCAATTTCGACCTGGCTCTTCTAGTCACCTGAGCAGCGTCGACCTGGCTCTTCTATTCACCTGAGCAGCTTCGACCTGGCTCTTCTAGTCACTTGAGCAGCTTCGACCTGGCTCTTCTAGTCACCTGAGCAATTTCGACCTGGCTCTTCTAGTCATCTGAGCAGCTTCGACCTGGCTCTTCTAGTCCCCTGAGCAGCTTCGACCTGGCTCTTCTAGTCACTTGAGCATCCCCGACCTGGCTCTTCTAGTTCCCTGAGCAGCTTCGACCTGGCTCTTCTAGTCACTTGAGCATCCCCGACCTGGCTCTTCTCGTCACTTGAACATCCCCGACCTGGCTCTTCTAGTCACTTGAGCATCCCCGACCTGGCTCTTCTAGTCCCCTGAGCACTTTCGACCTGGCTCTTCTAGTTACCTGAGGAGCTTCGACGTAGCTCCTCTCTTCAACACAGAACATACTCCACAGTGTACCTCTCTCCCTCCTCTCTCAAACACATCGCAAGGAATTCCCTCTACATAATGGACCGCAATTTAAAGCTCCTGTAATGAACCTGCCAGCCACTTGGCACAGTAGTAGGCTGCTGGCCCACAAGCGCCTCCCTCTCACAGGGGTCTCCAGCGGCCTGCAGGTACACGGAGCTCTGTTTCCTACCGCCTCGGGACTCCACGTATCATTTTTGTGTAAAGAGGACAGACAAAAGCCTCGGAAGTGCATTAATCTTTTGGTACAGTTGCTTCTTGTCGATTTTGGTGTTCCCGGGGCCGCATACGCCGCGTATACGGACCACCATTTCCCACTATCAACGGGACAGTCGCTTAGCGGGGTGTTATAATGGCACTTGGTTGTTACAGATGCAAAGGGGTATTTGTACACTGTGGAGATAAGGTGCAGTGGGAAAAAGACTTGATAAGGGAGTGTAACAGCCGGCGGTCCACTAAGCCGCGTGCCAGTGTAGCCGAGTGATCAGGGGTCCCCCGGCCGGTGAACACAATTGAACGCTGAGAAAATCCCGCTTTGGCGCCCTTCCGCCCGGTTCTTTCTCACCGGGAGTCCAGCCGGGCGCCACCACCTTCCCGTGATAAGTTCTGTTCCTGAGACGCGTCCTTCCTGCAACTGGCGTCTTCAGGAGGTGGTGTGGAGCAGAGTGCAGGAGCTGGGGACAGAGAGAGGCATTAGAGGCAGATAAGCGTTAGCGGCAGGGCAGTCGTCCGTCCTCCCCCAGCTTAAGGGAGCCCCGCGGGGACTATCTGGCAAGGAGCGGCCCCAGGCTCCCCTCTGGTAAATCTGAGACCGCCGTGGGGCCTTTACGGACAGGCTTCCAGGTGTTCCGAGCTAAAGAATGTGTAGTGAATAGCCGCCCATTCTTTCCCATGCTAGCCTATTCAGACCGTTCCTGCCTCCTGCCCCTAGCCCCGCTAGCTCAGGGGCCCTCGTTACCTTCCCACAGGGGCCCCACCTTACCCCACATGCCCCCAAACTACTTTCCCTCCGGGGTCCTCATTACCTAACCTTCTTCCCCCCGGTGAAGTTCACTATCTTCCCCCAGGGACTCTTGCTACTTTGCCCCAGGGGTCGCTCTCTATCTTCTCTCAGAGGCCCTAGCTAACTCCTAGCGACTCTCGCCACCTTCCCCCAGGGGGGACCCTTGCATTCTTCTCCTATGCATCCTCCCTATCTTCTTCTAGGGGCACTCGCTGCATACCCCCAGAGAACCCCAGTTTTCTTCCCCCAGGGACTCTCGCTTCCTCTCTCCATGCAGAGACCTTTGCTATCTTCCCCCAGGGCCCCTTCGTTACTTTCCCCCAGGGACCCTGGCTACCTTCCCCCAGGGACCCTCCCTACCTTCCCCCGGGGACCCTCCCTACCATCCCCCAGAGGCCCTCGCTATCTTCCCCCAGGGGCCCTCGGTACCTTCCCCCAGGGTCCCTCGTCACCTTCCCCCAGGGACCCTGGCTACCTTCCCCCAGGGGCCCTGGCTACCTCCCCCCAGGGACCCTCCCTACCTTCCCCTGGGGGCCCTGGCTACCTTCCCTCAGGAGCCCTGGCTACCTTCCCCCAGGGGCCCTCGTTACCTTCCCCCAGGGGCCCTCGTTACCTTCCCCCAGGGGCCCTGGCTACCTTCCCTCAGGGGCCCTGGCTACCTCCCCCCAGGGGCTCTGGCTACCTTCCCTCAGGGGCCCTGGCTACCTCCCCCCAGGGACCCTCCCTACCTTCCCCTGGGGGCCCTGGCTACCTTCCCTCAGGAGCCCTGGCTACCTTCCCCCAGGGGCCCTGGCTACCTCCCCCCCAGGGGCCCACGCTACCTACCTACAGGCCTACATTCACCTAAAGCTTGCTTATTTCATTACGCTATTAACTGGTGCTAGGAATCACTGGAGCGGCTATTAAAACTCAGCCATCAGAGTACATGTATCATAAATTAAAGTTAAGAGTAAGCAATAGGAGGTGAGCCAGACCCCTTTATCAAGTACAATGTATACGAAGGTAACTTAATGCTTTGGCTTTCGCTTCGAGCATATTCTGAAATCGTTTTTCCTGGTGGAGTCATCACTGTTTAGGCAAATTATGAAGGATCCTTGGTGCGATGCGACCTATGGATAAGAAGTGATTGTATTAGACAATATATTCCATTACAATAAAGAAAAATAAAAGTATTATCGTATGTATCTCGAGTGATCGAGGTGTCGGCGGGATCTTGGCGGTTGGGTCAGGCGGCGGCCAATCAGAAGGCGCGCGGTGGTTGGTGGGCGGAGCCTCCTCTCAGGGGGGCCGGTAGCTCCGCCCACCATCCTACCGCTTTGTTATTGGTTCGCTGGCTCGTGACGTCACGCGGGCTACTGAGAACCCATTATTATTGGCGGATACTACGTGACGTCACAGAGGCCGACCGTACTCCATGTCCAGTGTTTAAAATATTTGTTAGCCAGGGCCCTTGGTCATACTTCCTCCAGCATCGCTAGACACACTGTCGCTTCTGTGTCGCCTTACGAGCAGTGATTACCCCGTAATTATCCAGTGTAGAGTGGATGTGGTGAAGTGAGCAGAGCCTTAAGGTGATAGTGCGAGCAGTGTGCGCAGACAGCAACTACAGAGCAGTAGAGGAGAACCTTGAAGGCCACAACAGCAGCCTTCACAACCGCCCCCGCCAGCACCCGCCATGTGTACGTCTAGTGTTGTGCCTGTGTTAAGTTGTTTGTATGCTAATCTTGCGGTGGGTGGCGCGTACATCACACGCAGATGTGTGTGTGTGTGTGTGTGTGTGCGTGTCACTGGATGTGGTAATGTTTGTGCCGTGGCAGGCACGGAGTGTGGGGCCCCGCCGCCCGCCTCTTCTTCAGTGCCAATTATCCGTGTTCTAGGACTAAGGGGGGCCCCTAATTATTTCACGCACTTGATGTACTGTTACCGGCAGGGGCCCAGCGCTCTGGGGCCCTCCACACACCTCCAGATAACCTCAAAGTTAATACCACAGGGACCAATAACAGCGTCTGTTATCCCTAGGATGATAAACCTCATCCTTCAAGTTAGTTTATGGGAGCAAGACCTTTGTAACGGCCGAACTGAGCCTAGCATGTTCAACCAATGCGCAGCCTCGGAGGTCCAATTTGCATACTAGTTGGAAAAAATGATGAGAGTATTATGGTATATGTGTGTTAGTTGGCCTGGCTCTCAGAGGAGGCCATCCCTAGTGTTGCGGACTGAGTGCTAATGGTGCTACCTTTCTCTCTCCCTCACCCGACAGATCCCACAATGATGGAGTCCATGCCGGTGTCTTACGCCAGCACAATGGGTGGTATGATGGGGCACTATTTCGGTGGAGGCAGCGCTGGCATGGGTGTGGGCGCAGGCGTGGGTCAGATACCCCCTGCGCATCACAGTAATGCCCATGCCCAGCAGCAGCAGCCGCCTCAGCAGCCCCCGCCACAGCAGGAGGGCAGCCACCCCCACCAGCAGGCACCCCTCACTTCCCACGCGCCGGCCCTCAGCCCTCAGGAGGTAAGAATAACATCAAAGTTTCATTCAATTCTATATTTCTAATAAATAATAGCATTCATATTGTCGCCCTTCTGGGCTAACTCCTTCCTTCTGCCGCAGACTCTGACGACGAGTCACGCCCACCTCCGCCAGGCAGCCCTGGTGACGCCCGTGCCCACGCCCTCTCCCGCCGATTCCACAGCGTCTGGCTGCTCCCCCAGCGGGTCAGCCCAGAAGAAGGAGAACGGTAAAGATGACCACGTGAAGCGTCCCATGAACGCCTTCATGGTGTGGTCTCGCATGCAGCGCCGCAAGATAGCGCAGGAGAACCCCAAGATGCACAACTCCGAGATCTCCAAACGCCTTGGTGGGTACCACACGTAAATAATTTGAGTTTAATACTATAATTCCATATATTTTTATTGCAATGCCGCTTTAGTGGGATTTTTTTAATGATTGCTTTACAGAATTTTTAAATTATGACGAGTTCTCTTGATATTCACGTCACGATTCTTCACCAGGAGCCGAGTGGAAGACGCTGACGGAGGCTGAGAAGCGTCCTTTCATCGACGAAGCCAAGCGGCTCCGGGCCCAGCACATGAAGGATCACCCCGACTACAAGTACCGCCCCCGCAGGAAGCCCAAGACCCTGAAGAAGGACGGCTACCCCTACAGCATTCCCTACCCCGCCGTCTCCATGGATCCCCTCCGAGGAGGTGAGCTCACGTTGTGTGTGTGTGTGTGTGTGTGTGTGTGTGTGTGTGTGTGTGTGTGTGTGTGTGGAGTGAGGAGGGCTGTCTCCCTGGGGAGGACGGGAAGTGAAGGGGTTGAGCTGTGGACGCTCTTAATTATCAAGAGATTAACCACATCATCACTTTATTTAACGGGTAATATTTGAGGGTTTCGTGGAAACGTGCACTCAACTGTACCGTCAGTCATGGGTTAAACCGTCGTCCAGTAGCGGAAGTTTATCAAAACTTGCGGGTTTTTTTTTTTTTTTAGCATTATATACATATTGTATATCAAGAATAGATGCAAAACGTCAAAATTCAACGCATTACACACCTAAACCTTGCTAGGGATTGAGTACCTTTACCTCTCGAGATCAGTATATAATGGGTTGATATATATATATATATATATATATATATATATATATATATATATATATATATATATATATATATATATATATATATATATATATATCGAGTTTACAATTATTCAAAGATCTATGCGTGTATATGTTGTTAAATATGAGGAAGTATAGCACAGAATTTAAATTGTAACATCTAACGATTTGAAACAAATTTATACATTAGTTTTTCTAATTTATATATTTGCATTTGCATTTAAATTATAGTAAATATTAGTTTAACTTAGATATTGCTTTCGTTAAATAAGATACGGTGGTGTAGATATGTGTAAGAGAGAGAGAGAGAGAGAGAGAGAGAGAGAGAGAGAGAGAGAGAGAGAGAGAGAGAGAGAGAGAGAGAGAGAGAGAGAGAGAGAGAGAGAGAGAGAGGGAGAGGCCGTGTTTGGCATCAAACTTCCCATCCCTGACTCCTTAAATATAACAACTTTTCATATATTTAACGCCACCAAATCGTAAAAATAAATCATCCTAATATAGCACAAAAAAAGCAATAAGTTCCTGTTATTTAAGTACGGTTTACAAGCCTTGTAGCGCGCCAATATCTCCTTCTCGAGAACGGAGTATCCCGAACAATGTAACAGCGTTGTGCTCCCAGTAGTAAAGGCTCCCAGATTTACCCTACGGGACGCCGGCGTACGAACTCAGCCGGCTGGCCGGCCGCCTGCTCTTCCAGCCTTCCTTCCCCCCTATCCTCCTCCTCCTCTTGCCTCTCACTGGAGCGTGGGACGAGGATATGTATCCTGGATGAGTTTGTTTTTAAACGTTAAACAGGAGTAAATAAGGAGTGTAGATTGGATAATGAAGTATTGCGAAGGAGAAACAGGAAGCACAGGAATGATGGAAGAGCCTGGGGTGCTAGAGTATAGATACGGAGGTATAGAGTGAGGCGTTTGGGTGGTGGGGAGGTGGTGGTGGGGGGGGGGGGAGAGAGAGTGTACTGGGACACGGTCTCCGAGGCGCGAGAGTTCACGATATCGATCACATATTCACCCACCACCTTCGTGTTTCTCCCTGATTGTAAATTCACGTTCCCGTGTGTGTCTCTATTGTGGCATAACGCTGTTGGTGTTGGATAATGGCGATTCAATTACCGCGAACCCTGGGGGTAGAGACGGAAGGGCGGAGATAGTGGCTCACTACTTGTGCAACTACTGGTCTGGAAAATGTATAAAGTGGCCTTTGGTTTTGAACGGATCAACTATTTATGCGGAGCCGCTTGTTGCGTGTGGATGCCCCGTTGTTGGAGGCCATTAGATCGTTCCATTACATGCAGGGCTTGTGTCTGGTGATCAGATTTATACGTACCTCTCTTATGGCCGGTGCGAGCCCATTATGTTCTCTTTGTGGGGTTACAAAGCCACTCTGAACTGTGGTATAGACTGCCAAGCTCACCGCTCTGATATTAACCATCACACATTCTACACTGATACCGTTTTTATTATTGGCTTTTGTTGAAGTGGATAAATGTATATATGCTTTTTTTTCTTTTTATTTCTCAGTAGCGCCGGACGAATAGTGTACTTTTGTGTTTGCATTAAACATATCGAGGTATCAGCTACTTTGTATTGAGTTTTTCGCCCTGCTAGTGACTCATTACTTTTAACAACTCAGTAATATGTACGTCACACAACAGTGAGCTTGATCAAAACTTCACGGGATATTTACTCAAATCACGTATTAGAAACCCCCCTTTTCCCCCAGCTTGCATAGCTTACCCACTCCCCCCCCTCCACCACAATCACACCCTCACACACACACACACACACACACACACACACACACACACACACACACACACACACACACACACACACACACACACACACACACACACACACACACACACACACACACACACACACACACACACACACACACACACACACACACACACACACACACACACACACACACACACACTCACACTCACACTCACACACTCACACTCACACACTCACTACGATATAGAATTAAACTCACATTAATATAATTTTTGTTAGTGAGGGATCGAGAGGATGACCCTCTGACCCCCTTCTCCAGTCTTCCCCTCCTACTCCAGTCTTGCCCTCCTACTCCAGTCTTCCCCTTCTACTCCAGTCTTCCCCTTCTACTCCAGACTTCCCCTCCTACTCCAGTCTTCCCCTCCTACTCCAGTCTTCCCCCTCAGCTCACGCTTCGAGCTGGACCCCTGAAACACACTCATCTACCCAGCAGATCCCAATTTCCCCCCCTTCTCTCCCCATTCCCCCTCTCTCCCCCTCACTTCCATGTCCCCATTTCCCCCCTTTAGTATCAGTAGGTCCATGCATCATACCCACGGAATAGGGACTATAGGTCCTCGACGCCACAAAGCCACGAATAAACGCCTTATTGTGCGGGTCAACAATGGGATCATAATTGTTATTGTCGGCTGTGATCCGCAGGTTTTAGTCACATCGGAAATTAAATCAATGAGGGTCAATGGTAGTTCTCATCTCTACTGCTCTGGAGTAATGGTGGTAGTTTGTGGCCCATTGTCGCTCCTCGGAGCCTTGGTTCCCACTTTTTTTGGTTGCGGTCGTGGTAGTTTGGTGGTGTTTTAGTTTGTGCTGAGACTACCGTGACGCCTACACGTGGTGGGGTTCATGGTTTCAAATATATATACATATGTATATACTTTGTATTGTGATTTATAGAGATAGGGAGAGCGCAGATAGATGCCGGCGCTGCCACCAGACTGGCCCCAGCACTCAATTCACACAAGTTCAGACAATTTGCGAGGCGCTACAGTTCTGCCGTTGAATATTTCAGCGTTTGGAGGAACAATGGGTCATGATTGAGAGTATTAGGGGCTACAATGAGGCAGCGGCGCCCTATCGATCAGCTAGGCACCAGCTCCTCTCGACTCTGTCAGCCAGCCAGCCAGCCAGCCAGCTAGCCAGCCAGCCTGCCAGCCAGCTATCCAGCCCGACCCTCACACTGGCTTAATCGATCGCTCGCTCAATCACTGGACTATCTTTCGATCACTTGGTTATCGTTCGATCATTGGTTCGCCTCTTCTTGGATATCTTTGTTATCTTCAGGTTTTGCTAGTTTATCACTTGGTTTTCTCTGGCTCTCTTATTTTATCAATTACCTGTCCTTTAATTATATGATTAATTATATGATTATCATAATATAGCGACTCATCTCCTCAAGTTAGCTTTCAATTATACCCACTTTACTGCTGACATTCTGGGCCGTATGCCTTATGTATATTTTTGCCGTATGTATATCATTCCTTATCATGGGTTAATTTCGGCTACTCTCAAACCACTTTTCTATCTTTGGAACTGCTCATTTATCCTTCCAACTTTCTCCTATTATTTTGTTGCTCTGCTCTTCTTGAACAACTAAAGGCATAGCTAAATAATCGAGCTTCTCGCTGAGTCTGTTATTGATGGCTCACGCAGCAACTTTCTCGAAACGCCGTAAGATAGTTTAAGCTAATTGGATCGCTTTGGAAATCTTGTTTCTCGACCCCCCCCCCCCCCTTCCCCCTCCCTCCCTCTTCCTCACTCCTTCCCAGGTTGATCAGTTTGACTTGCAGTTCCTTCCTTATCTGGTTCCTGTGTTCGTTTGATTATTTGAGTTTCCTCCGTACATCACTTTATCTGTATCGTCTGACACCTTGATGGAATCTTATCTTAACCCCGCTCTCTCTCTCTCTCTCTCTCTCTCCCCTTAACAAAGGCCTGATCAGAGACCGGGCCGCTTTGACATTGATCTCCGGGACCAACAAGAGGTATAGGTAGGAAGGACTATCTGTAGTACCCGAGGGTGTGAATGGTGGTAGTGGTGGTGGTGGTGGTTGGTGCGGGGATGGGGGATGGAGTGGAGTAGTGGTAGTGATAGGGTAGGAGGAAAGAGTGTAGGGGAAGGGGGAGGGATGAACTGGGGAAAGGGGGAAGGGGAGAATTGAGTCAGAAAGGGAGCTGGTTTATATATATATATATATATATATATATATATATATATATATATATATATATATATATATATATATATATGCAACAATGATCACAAAAACATTGATCCAAATATGCAGAATAACCACATGCGAAAATAGAAAATGCTTAACGCGTTTTCGGCTAATTCGCCTTCATCAGAGCAAAGTAGAATCACGATTCTACACGATTCAAAGTAGAATATGATTCTACTTTGCTCTGATGAAGGCGAATTAGCCGAAAACGCGTTAAGCATTTTCTATTTTTATGTGGTTATTTCATATATATATATATATATATATATATATATATATATATATATATATATATATACATATATATATATATATATATATATATATATATGACCAAACCACGCATCAGGAAATGGAGAAACGACAACGTTTCGGTCCGTCTTGAACCATTATATCAAGTCGTTTAACTCTAAATAATATAACTGTATAACGACTCTAAACGACCAGATCGTTGACCTCGTCTTCCCCCCCCCCTCCCCCTCAAGGCGGGAACGAACTGCTCGTCGTTTAGGTAGTTAACTCTTCGTAATTACCGCGGTGGGATTAAGAGCAGTACGACACCCACATTATAACGCTCGACTCCCCGCTATAGTGCCTATTAGGTTAGATTTGATTAAGTTAAACACTTTCAAAATTGAGTTAGTAAAAAGCCTCCGGCACTTCCCGTTTTCTTTGAAATTACTGAATTAAATATGATTGTAATCCACTAGTGAACGAGGCAATTGGCGCCAAGATGACCGGCCGCCGGTCGCCTAATAATCAACCGATTTTATAGAATAGAATAAATTTTCCAATATATTCGGTTATCGTATACTATATTAAATCTATTTGTTTAGATGATTTTTTTTTAAATGTATATATTAGGCTAATTTTTGTTTTGAGTTGAAGGGGATATCAATGTAAGATAACAACTGTTGAATACCAGGTCCCGTTTCCATCTCCATCCTTTTCCCCCTTCCCCTCCCTGACCCCACTCCCCCCCCATCCATCTCACTGACCCCTCTCCACCCATTCCTTAAGTGGTGTAGGGTAATGTGTGGATCACAAGAAGTGGATTGTGGGTGGATGCTGCAGTTACTGTGGATAGTACTGTTTTGAGTGGGGTGTGATTTCGGAGGTGGAGTGGGTTATCTTGAGGTTATCTTGAGATGATTTCGGGGCTTTTTAGTGTCCCCGCGGCCCGGTCCTCGACCAGGCCTCCACCCCCGGGAAGCAGCCCGTGACAGCTGACTAACACCCAGGTACCTATTTTACTGCTGGGTAACAGGGGCATAGGGTGAAAGAAACTCTGCCCATTGTTTCTCGCCGGCGCCCGGGATCGAACCCGGGACCACAGGATCACAAGTCCAGTGTGCTGTCCGCTCGGCCGACCGGGTGGAGCAATACGGCAAGAGGGGGAAGGGGGTGCAGCTTCGATCTTCATTTCCCACTCAGCTAAAAATCAAACCATTTATCCTAACCAGAACTGTAGTCAACCCAAGCAACCTTACCCGATCCCAATGCATATAGAAAACGAACACATTAGTGAACGAATATACTTTTCCTGATAGATAGCATATCTAAAGTGGATTATGATATCGTAAAAAAAAAACGCGACCTATTAGATGAGAAAAACCGGTTGGGCGGGTGAGGTAATATTTGTAATGCGGTTACATTGTTTGGAGTGTGGTTGTAGGTACTGTTTGGAGTGTGGTTGTAGGTACTGTTTGGAGTGTGGTTGAGGTGGGTGGGTGAGCCAGTGTGGTGGGTGGGTGGGAGAAGTGTAATTAGTGACTAAGGTAGTGCGGTTAGTAGGTGGAGGTCCTTGCAGGGTGGGGGGGTGGGGAGAGGCGAGAAGGATAACGGGATGAGAGAGACACGATGAGTTGGATAGCGGAATGTTAACGAGAAGAGAGGTAGAGTCAGACTGGTAGCAGGGTTATCTTGAGTTGATTTGATTTAGTTGGGTTAGCGAGAATGGTAGCAAATTGAGTGGGTCGAGGGTAGGAGGGTGAGTGCGTCGAGGGTAGGAGGGTGAGTGCGTCGAGGGTAGGAGGGTGAGTGCGTCGAGGGTAGGAGGGTGAGTGCGTCGAGGGTAGGAGGGTGAGTGCGTCGAGGGTAGGAGGGTGAGTGCGTCGAGGGTAGGAGGGTGAGTGCGTCGAGGGTAGGAGGGTGAGTGCGTCGAGGGTAGGAGGGTGAGTGCGTCGAGGGTAGGAGGGTGAGTGCGTCGAGGGTAGGAGGGTGAGTGCGTCGAGGGTAGGAGGGTGAGTACGTTGAGACTAGGAGGGTGAGTGCGTCGAGGGTAGGAGGATGAGTGCGTCGAGGGTAGCAGGGGTGAGTGCGTCAAGGCTAGGAGGGTGAGTGCGTCGAGGCTAGCAGGGTGAGTGCGTCGAGGCTAGGAGGGTGAGTGCGTTGAGGCTAGGAGGGTGAGTGCGTCGAGGGTAGGAGGGTGAGTGCGTCGAGGCTAGGAGGGTGAGTGCGTCGAGGCTAGCAGGTGAATTCGTCAAGGCTAGCAGGGGTGAGTGCGTCGAGGGTAGGAGGGTGAGTGCGTCGAGGGTAGGAGAGTGAGTGCGTCGAGGCTAGGAGGGTGAGTGCGTTGAGGGTAGCAGGGTGAGTGCATCAAGGCTAGGAGGGTGAGTGCGTCGAGGGTAGCAAGGGTGAGACAAGGGTGAGTCGAGAAGCTTGTCTTAGATGTCACCAGTTCCGTCGCCTCCGGCATCCTATTTAATTCCATTAGCGCGACCATAATTACGTTGAAGCGTAAGACAATCGCCTGTTGAGGATGGTGAGTGTCTCCCTTTGTGTCTGCCTGAGTGAAGGGTAGATAAGGGTGGAGGAAAGTAATGGGTGTTGCCCCCCGTCCCCATTCCCACCCCTCCCTTTCCCCATGAATAGTATGCCTCTCATCCCATTTCTCCCCCCCCCCCAACCATAGGGTCACGTGCTAGCGCACACACTCCCTGCTAAACGAACGTTCCCACTGATTTTTTCTCTCGTTTTTTTGGTCCATATGTCATTGATGTTTTGCATGACGGCTCTTTATAACCCGCTGTAAGAGGCTACGGCTTCAAGGCCTGACGCCGACCAAACTTGCGGCATTAAGTATTCTATTGGTCTTCTGCAGGTTTCCCGTCGCAGCTGTCTCCATACTACTCCGCCAGCGCCGCCGCGGCCAACTACGGGTCCATCACTGCGGCACACATGGCCGCCGCAGCTGCCGCCGCCGCCGCCGCTCAACAGCAGTTGACTACCCAGGTCTCTCAGGCCAGCCCCGTCGGCTACGGCTACGATGCCTCGAAGTACACCAGCTACATGAGCGGCTCTTCAGGCTACCCTATGAGCATGTACGGATCCGCCGTCGGAGCCACGGACCACAAGTACGGCGATACCAGCAAGGCCGCAGCGGCCGCAGCCGCCGTTGGGGGCTACGAAGCCGCCAAATCCTACTTGGACAGCAGCAAGTATCTCTCCGACAAGTACGGCCTGGAGAAACCCACTTCGTATATGGATAAACTGGCCCAAGAGCCCAAGGACACCGAGATGAAGAGCACGTCCCCTGGAATCAGCAGCCCGCACCCAGGCGCCATGGGTGGGTATAGCTCGGCCGCTCTCAGCAACTACTACAGTCAGGCTGCCAGCACGTCAGCCTTCCAGCCCTCAGCAGCAGCTCTGAGCCAAGGGGTGCCCTCCACCATGGCCGGCCTCCTGCAGCCCTCACAGGTGGCCACCTACACCAACGCGCAGTACCCGCCTGTGGGAGCCGATTATAGGAGGCCGCTGTCAGTAATCTTCTAAAAAAAAACGCACAACCA